CCGGCTACTGCTGCGGAGAGCGGGGGGCGGCCCCGCGGGACCCCCCACCTGCCCCCGCTCCGCTTATCTTGGCCCCTGGTGCAACCGGAGCCGGAGACCGGCTGCAAAGGGCATGAAAGGAGGCTCTGAGATGTGGGGCAGAGCCACGAGGGCAGCTCCCGCGGGGATCCAGCAGCCTCCATCCCGTGGGGAGCCTCAAGGGACCCGAGCCGGTGCTTTGCGGCTGCTTGAAAACAAAGCTGGGAGGGCGGCAGGGGGCTGGGAGAGGAGCTGTGCTTCCTAATACAGCAACAGCAGATGTAATTCTATTACCTTGATTTATTGATTGCACTTAGAGCAATTCCTGGCTCTCAGCCCCTCACCTGGTGGACGCGGGAGCTGGCGCAGAGGCAGCCACTGAAGCAGCCCTGGGAGCTCTGGTTTGACTCTGGAGCAGCCGGGTGCCACCCCCGTCACCCTCACGGGCTGCACTGGGAGTTGGTCCCCTGGTGAGGGAGCAGGAGCTGAGGGCCTCTGCTCTGCAGAGCCCTGTGCTGAAGCTGCCGGGAGTCCGACAGGGAAGAGCTCAGCTCCGTCGGGATGGGCCCTGCTCCAGGCACACGGATGGTGCTGGGTTTGCAGTGGCTGCAGGAGGATTCAGCCCTGGTGGGATGTCCTGGCTGCTCCTTAGGCCCTGGGGTGCAGGGCAGGGCACAAGGCAGGTCGGTTTGGGCTCAGAGAGGCCCTGCCAGGTGTTTCCCTTTCTTCAGAGAAGCAGGAAAATGACGTTGCTCTTCACTGCCTCCAGACACATCTAAGCACGGAGGGGATAGGCCTGGCTTTGGAGAGCTGGGAGCGAGTGAGACCGCTGCATTCGGAGGCAGGAGAACAGGGCACCCCTGGCAGTGTACCTGGCAGCACCAGGCCCAGGATCGCGACTTTTCCCTGTGCCAGAAATGTGGAGAGGAGAAAAGGTCCCTTGCGCAGGCAAGGGCAGTGGCCAGAGCCGCGTGCTGAGCAGGAGCGTGCGAGCTGGAGCGCAGAGCAGCCCCTGCATCACCCCTAGGCTCCCAGGGGGAACAGCAGCTCCCCGGGCTCCAGGTGGGCAGGAGGCTCCGAGCTCGTTAACCTCGCGGTGGCTGCAGCACAGCCGGACACCCCTGCCCCCAAGCCCAGCTCCAGCTGCTCTGTGCATTCCCAGCAGGGATCCAGCACCGGGACCGCTTCTGTGCTGTGCAGGGGACTCTCTTGGCCCTTCTCTGCCCGGCTCAGGGCTCAGGAGGCAGCGGGGCTGGAGGGATGCCCGTGGAGCGGGAGGGAGGTATGGGATCAGAGGGCTGATTTCATGGCTTGAGGAGCTGAAGGGATGTGCGCCGGGTGGGAGGGATGCTTGTGGAGTTGGAGGGATGCTGTTGGGCTGGGAAGGGGGCTCATGGAGCTGTCAGGATGCTCCTGGAGCAGGAGGGATGTGTGCAGGGTGGGAGAGCTGCTCGCAGAGCCAGGGATGCGTGTGGAGCCGGGGATGTTCGCAGAGCTGGAGGATGCTCGCAAAGTCAGGAATGCTCATGGAGCTGGAGGATGCTCACGGAGCCAGGGCTGCTCATGGAGCTGGAGGATGCTCACAGAGCTAGGGATGCTCGCAATGCTGGAGGATGCTCGCGGAGCTGGGGATGCTCATGGAGGCAGGGATGCTCGCGGAGCTGGAGGATGCTCGCGGA